TATATATATATATATATATATATATATATATATATATATTTTAATTTAATATCAATCAATTATCTTTTTATTTCATGTAATTTTAATTAATTTCTTTTTTGTTGTAGATTTATAAATTAATGAAAGACTATATTGGTAGTTGTCCCATGAGTAAATTATTTCCAATAAGAGGAGTATATATCTTTGTGATTAGCGCCAGATTTTGACATTAATTTGAATAATTTGAGTTGGATGTTTTTCCTATTTGATATTGTTTTTACTTAGACACTATTTTAATATTTTATGCTGTAAAATGTAAATCCTATCACAATACGGTTTCATATATATTGCAATATTGACTGCTTTCCTCCAATTATTACGAATTTAAATAAATTAACAAATCAAGAAAAAGCAAATCTACAAATTTTAATTAATTAACAAAAGTAACAAATATTTTACACTATAAATACCACCTATATTTTCTCATTTCATCACAACAAAAATAACTAAATAATAACAACTGAATTTATAATTAAAACTATAGCCATGGCAATCTCCAAATCCTTAGCTTGTCTCATCTCTGCCTTCCTCTTTATTTCCATGATTCAAGCTCATGCAAAGGTATATTTGTATATACTTTATACGTATGTACACATATTTATAAATATTGATTAATATATAAATATAAATATAAATATATATATTGAATAATTATTTTTGTTATCAATCTTCTCCATTTGCAGATCATCAATACTAATGGGATTGGAGAGTATGCTCTTGGTGATGTCAAAATAGGTACTCCAAAAAACCATATAATATACATATCTAAAGCGACGGATCTGTTTATTTTATGCTATACTCGATAAACTTAACTGGATTATATCACTCCAATATAATATTTCGATAACGAATTCCTTTAATTATTTTATTGAATATACATAAATATTTATAAATGAATCTTGATTTGAATGTCAGCATTATAATTAAAATTGTGATTTAAAAATAAAATACAGATTGTGGAGCGGAATGTTCTAGAAGGTGTTCTCTATCATCCAGGCCAAACTTATGCCACAGGGCTTGCGGCACGTGCTGTGCTAGGTGCAACTGTGTGCCACCTGGCACCGCCGGCAACGACGAGGTCTGCCCCTGCTGGGCTAATCAGACTACTCACGGCGGCAGGAAAAAGTGCCCTTAATTAATTAAAAATTCTAATCTTAATTAATTATGTGTTGAATTTAGGGTATTTTGTTCTTTTGTTAATGATGTTATCGTCCAAATTGTTTCTTCAAATGATTTAAATAAAATCTATTTTCATCATTCGCAAATTTCCACACCAAACACCATCTTAATACGGTACGCTGAAATACACCGAGTAATTTTGAATCATTGATCTACGCATAATAACACACATATTCATGTGTTTCATGTGTATTTGGTTTGTAGGTATTTACATAAATTTATGGTGTAAAATCATCCGGTCTTTTCACCCGTATGAAATAAAAATATATAACTATTTCCATTAAAATATGAAATGAAATATATAAGTGGAAATTATCATTAATTTTAATTTTTAAGCGTTTCTATACTATGAATATGGGCCTTGAGTCACAATCCATTATACGGTCTAGTAAAATTAGAAAGCCCAAATGTAATGTTGGATCAGTCCACTAATTTTCTTATAGATTCTTTATTATTATTATTATTATTATGAAACTATAATCATATACTTCTACATTTCTAATATTTCATATCATCTGCATTGTTCATAAATTCTTATTTCAAAAAAAAAAAAAAAAACCAAAAAGGGTAAAACAGTCATTTCACTACGGCTCAACAGAATCACATTAGCGACACGCACCGCACATGACCCTCACGCAAAAACCTGCAGAAAAAAAAAAAAATTACCAACAGAATAAAATCATTACACTCGCCGAGTAAATCTCGCAGTCCCCCACATTTCAAAATCACCAATTTATTAATACAAAATCTCCAATTTCCACGTCATCAAATATCCAATCTCAGCCGTCCGTTTCCATCCACAGCTGCAACAAAAACCCACGTGATATCCCACAACTGTCCACGTGGCGGCCACGTCGGACCATCGGTCTCTTTTTCCCCGCTGGTGTGAACTGAACCCGACCCGGTTGTTACAGCCCGTCGGATCTCCAAAAATGACGTCATCAGGCGGTCGTTATTTATAATCTCAGAACGCAAACGGTTGTTCTTCGTTTCTCCCCCCGTCTGCTTAGGAACGAGTGTGGAACCTCTGCGCACACACTAAACACACAGTGAGTGTGTTGTTTTTAGCTGCTGAATCCGTACATTGCAGCATCGGAAAGCTCTCCTCTCATCTCTCTCCGTCTCCGATTCAATTTTCTCTCTCATAAATTTCAGTAAAAGGAAGAAAAAAAGCAAAAGGTAATTTTATCTTCTTCCTCTATTTTTTTTCTCTTTAATCCAATTTTTAATCAGAGTTAAGCTGCTATTAATTGCATATCAAAGCGGATAAAATATTTTTCCTTTTCTAATTTTTTTTTTTTGTTTTTAATTTTATCGTCTGATACTCTGATTTTACACATTTTTCCAGAATTTATAACGCATATAAATAATGATGTTCATCTTCACTTTCTCTCTCTATGTTTAATATTCTGATCATATGAACTCTTTGCATTTCCATCTCTGTGCGTGTTGTGTGTGTGTGTGACTGTGTGAGAGAGAAAGTAAAGTGTGTGTGAGAGAGAGAGAGAGAGAGAGAGAGAGAGAGAGAGAGAGAGAGAGAGTGAGTGAGTAAATGAGTGTGTACTTTTATTGCGTTAGAACCTGATTCCCTGAACATCCCCCAAATAAAAAGGACACTAATCACTTTTTCTTTTCTGCCATATCCTTTTTTTCTCTTTCTCTCTCATCATCGTCATCTAGAGAGAGAAATCAAACACCAAATGTTGAAGATCTACTCCATTTTCAGTCGGTTTCAACTTTCAATAAGCGTTTTTTCCCTTGGCGGTGTAGTGATCAGAACATACATCTGGTGGTGAAATTACGAAAACATCCTCCTTCAGCTGGTTTTTAATTCACGGTACTAACCAACAAAAAAGAAAAGAAAAAAAGGGGCCATCCGTTGGATTCTTTGTCTTTATCGGTGGTGTATTCGTGTTTGGTGATACGTTTTTGGGTGTTTGCGATACGTGTCGCATTGTGTGTATATATGTATATTTTTATGCCTCTTCTTCTTCTTCTTCTTCTTCTTCTTCTTTTGTGTGTGCTTTTTTCATTTTGTGTTATCTTTTTTTTTTTTTCTTCTCAGTTGAAGTTATCTCCCCCTGTTTTCTGTAGAAGTAACTCAATTTTCGGATTTGACGGTGGAGATGGGTTCTGTTGGATTCGACGGTGAAGATGAATCTCAGCCGAGTACCAGTACAGGCAAGAAGTACAAACTGCCCAGAACGGTAAATGCTTCAGAACTGTGAAATTGTGGAATTAAATTAATAAATGGTAGTTTTGTGTTTTTTTATTTTTTTTAATTAATTAATTATTGCAGATTCTTGATGGTTGTGGTGCAGTTAACCATGCCTCTGTTCCTAGGAAGCTACGGTCCGGTGCGTAATTATTGTGATTAATTACATTTTAATTGTGGTTTAGTGAAGATAATTAGTGGGAGCCCACTGATTTTCAAGTGTGTTTCTTTTTCTGCAGTGGTGGGTCTCATGAGAAGTTTCCTGTCTTTTAATACTCTGCTTTTTGTTTATGTGTTCTGAAATTTTAATTTCCTTTTTGCCCTTTTTAGCTTTTTCTTGATTGAAATGGAAAGATTCTGTGTTGCTTTTTTCACTTTCTGTGTGCTACTGAAGTGTGTACTCTGTGTGTAATGTGTGAATCTTACAGTTGTTTCATATGATACAGAAATTATGAACTTCAAAAGAAATTGTTGTAGATTGAAAACCGAAAATTGATTTTAGTAATTTCTTTCACTTGGCTCGATTTTAAAATCTTCCGTCTTTTCAATTGCATCGATTTATACAGAATGAATAGCTTAAGCGATTGGTTGGATACGGTTAAATTCTTGTGTGTTTATTTTCTGTTGTTAATTTTGCAGCCGTAAAAAAACGAGGACGCGAATCTGTTACTATAATACCTTTGCCAGTTTCGAGGAAAAAGCATCACGTGTCGAATGGAGTTGAAACACTCGGGAAAAAGTACAGTACAAAGAAACCCAAACAAAATAAGGTTAGAAATATTTGCAGTTTCCGAAACTTTTTATTCTCATTTACGGACAAAAATGGATGATAAATGAAATTTACTCTTTTTTGCAGAAGAAGGGAAAAATAACAAAGGATGAAGAAGAAGTTGCTGAAGCCTTATATGCTTTATCCGGAATGTTCTTTGATTCTAACAAAACTAATCAGACAGGATTGGATAATGAAGTATCGGAAGCAAAATCTCCAGCTATTCATAATTCAGTTGAAGGTTTGCATTTATTAATTATTTCGTTTTCTTGTTTTTCTTTCTTATGGTTTTTCTTTCTTATGGTTTTTCATTTGCTTCATTTGTGTGTTTCTCAATTTAAAATTCCACTGTGAACAGATACTGTGATTCCGACTCCAAAAGAGGAGTCTAACAAAATCGGCTCAAAATCAACTTTAGGTATCGTTCAAAATTCACCGCCAGAAATTGTTGAATCCCAATCCGATATAAATCTTGTTCAAAGGTGCATTTATAAATACTTCTTCCTTCTTCATTTCTCATCAATATTTGTTATATCTTCGGTTCTTAAATTTAGCTATGTTTAATCAATTTGATAGACCAAGGATATTCCCGAGTGGTGAACATGCAACTGAACTACGACAGGTACGTTTGTTTTCAAAGAATTTTATTATGCTGGTTATATCTCCTCGATAAATACTGTATCTAAGATGGTGATGTTTTTTCAGGCGGCAATTTCTGGTATTCAATATGACAAGAATTATCCCCCCATGGACATTAAAAAAGATAAAGGTAATTTTTCGATTAAAATGTTAGCTAACAAGATTGGTATTTGAAAGTCGCTTTTAAGTTTGATCTTTATCTACGTGTAATTTACGGTTAATGTAACCTCCATTTTCTAAATATAGGTTTATTTCCATCACCGCCTCAGAATTCTAAGCCACAAGAATCCGGAAAAAGGTACAAAATTCTTTCGTTTTTTTTATTTTTTTTGCAAGTAGATAACTGTGTTTCTCGTGCACTCGTTAATTTGACGTCAATCCACTTACAGAATCCCACCCTGGTTTGAGAAGGCTAATTCTGCACCTGCAATTGAGAACAACAGTATTACTACTGAAAAGGTTTGCAACTCTGCTCATTCAAGATTATTATATTTTAATTTATTATTAGATCGTTGTAAATATTCATCTAAATTTGAAATATTGACGATCTTATCAGGTTGTTGTTGAATCAAATAAGTCATGGAAGAGAAGTACAGCACATGTGTACATAAGTCGTCTGATTCGGGTCTTGCAATTATCAGAGAAAAACGAAGGGTTAGTAGAGAATAACAAACCTACTCAAGTAACAACTTGTGGTGATAGAAACGACAGTATTTCTTTCGCGCCTTCAGCTGAAATCCAAAATAATTCAGCTGAAACACGAAATGAATTTCTGAACAAGAGGCCCGTTCAAGATCGGCCCGAAAGCTCTGCTTTATGTTCTAGAAAACAGGTGTGAATTCATTGACAATACCATCTAAATGACAATCTTTTTTCTATGATTATTATTTTTTTGCATCTGAAATACAATTTGTTTGCAGAATTACGATTTTTTGGCTTTGGGTAGCGGAGTATGTGGTTTGGATGGAAGAAAAAGCGTCAATGGAGCTGTACATATTAACGAACAATTTCACATGCAGGCGCAAAATCATTCGGCCATGTTTTTCTTACCGCCGCCCCAGAATGGCTATTCCTCTACTTTCCATGCTCATAATTCAGCTTTAGCACCACAACAGGTGATTTTCTTGAAAAATTAAAAAAAAAAATTATAAAAGAAAAAATCAGTAAATTGTGTCGATGATGCATTTTCAGATAAATAGCTAATCTGCAATTTACTTATGATTATTGTTTGCTATGATTTTGCTCAGAAACTTACACGGCAGACTTTGTTATGATCATGAAAGACGACTGATTTTTTTTATTATTACAGGTACAAATACCGCAAACTCTCAACAGCAGTTTTACGTCACAGCTTCAGACATGGTATAACGGAGGAGGAAGAGATGCGCCTTCCATGGTGAACTATGCTCATACTATATTCCCGCACGTGCACGCTGCACTAGCCTCCAAATATCAACAGTTTTCGAGTCCGCATCAGCACCAGCATAATATTATGGCTATGAATTCGTCTTTAAATGTGAAGAAACACCATCATCAACAATATCATAATAATACAACGCATCAAGAAAATCTTCGTTTGGGATTTGAGAGAAACGGAGCTGTATTCTACCCTGAAAACGTACCGCAATTTCAGCTGCCGTGCAACCAGCGATTCTGAAATGGATAAATTACTGTCAATTATATGCTTCTACTTTAGAACCATTGTTTGTTCTTTTTTTTTTGGGGGGGAGTTATGTATTAATTAGTTTCAATATAAATGTTTGCAAAAATAATTATATGTTCTTGTTAGTGACAATTTCGAAATTTCGGCACAGTCAAATACACCTGATGAATATTATAAATCATATGTAAGTTGTTTATCTAAATATTTACCAAATAATGTCTTATGATGATGTATTAAGGAAAACACACACAATTAAAAGAATAACACACAATATAATCAGATGATGCGTAAACATGAACGCACAAATTGAATGAATTTCCACGAATTGACCATTTAACTCACCAACAAAAAGAACAGTTTGCCAACAGCAAATTTTACAAACAATATTTCCGAATATCTTAAACAAGACTCGACTATGTTTAGCAAATAGTTACACGAATCTGGCCTGATCGGGCGTTGCTGATTGAAATAATCATTATTCCTGCTTTTCCAATTCACCCATTCTCTCAATGATCGCCTGAAATTAGTAAAATAAAGAAAACGAAAATGAAATTTCGTGTTTAGAAAAATTATGTAATGATCGAGGAAAAGCACTTAATTTCGACCTAAGATGCAATATGGATACTCCCACGTACCAAGAATTATGGGTAGCGTATACACATATTGTAGCAAATAAAGAGTAGATAATAAGGTCATTGAAAGTTCTTACCTTCTTGCTCGTTTCTTGGAGTTCCCCAGCAAGTATGAACTCGTCTAGTATTAGGTACACCTTTGGAAAATACAACACAGAGATTATTACTCAGCATACGACATACTTTGCATATATTACCACACATCACAACAGAGATTTTCTTAGCGATGTTACATTATTATATTCCCCCTGCCCGACTTAGACCAGCCTCAGAGCACTCAAAAATCGAAAAACAAAATGGAAGAGTCGATTCTTTTCACTATACACTAGAGCTAGATCAATTTGTTGTACGGAGGAGCTTTAACGTAAAGTATCCCAATCGGCATACAATTAATTATAATCCAAGTGTTGAACTTCTCCAAAGCAAAGAAAGTGGAAAATTAAAGCAGTTTAATAAATAAGGAAAGGGGAACAAAACATACCTTGTGGAAATTAAAAACTAAATCGAGCTCGCACACGTTGCTGAAGAAATGATCAAGTATCTCCACAAATAAGTGAATGCACTCCAAATAAACTAACTCATTGTCGGTAATGTCGACGCACAGTGAGAAGAATAAACCAGCGTACCGCCTGTAGATAACCTTGTGGGTTCGGAACTGCAACAGAAATATGTTGACCACGGATTATAGGTCAATTGTAATTGAAATGGAAACACACAACAATATGTCCTGAGCGACAACATTAAAGATTCTTCCGGGAGAGTGCAATTAAGTCACCCGTAATCGATGAGCCTACAAATGTAGAAACTGAAGATGGAAAATAGATAGAAACAAGAAAATAACTTCTTTTGGTATAAATTTAACCTTATCTCGAATTCGTCACAAATGATTAATACGACCAAAACTCGAGGAGCTCGGAAAATAATCTTTTACGGGTTTTAATTCAAAATGTAGACAAATTCTTTAGTCCCTAATACTCTCACATTGTACAATTTAATTTTTCACTAATTTCGGTGTTTATACTCGAGAACTCCATTTTAACCAGAATGAATCGGAAATACGATATGCACGCATTCAAAGCATTTCCACTAACCTACTATTGTTGCAACTTTGTACAACTACTCAATAACTAACAACGAAAAATCGGAATTCTCAAGTATGTCGAAAAGCCAATCCGGAAACCCTTGTATCGAGTTAAAATTTTGAGTTAATCGTAGTTTCGACAAATTAAAAATAAAATCAATAGCCCATGCTCATCAATATTCGTATGTGCTTCAAAATGATTTCTACAATTAAACGAAAAATCGATATCCGAATACGATGTAGAAATGCTAACCTCCACAAAGTTGGTGAATTTGGGATCCCTGTTCACAACCAGCCGATGAACCTAAAAAACCGATTGATTGATAAAATTTCTAATTAATCAAAAGAACTTTCCGCCCTAGAAAAAAATCAGATTAAATTGGGGGGGAAATTACCTCGTACTCGACCTTATGCTTCTCGGATTCCTCGAGAGGGACGTAGTACTTGGCGAGTCGAGTTTTGCCTTGCCTGTTCTGTAATAATATGAATCGGATCTGCAGATTTCGATCAGGAAAAAAAATATCAGAATTATTTGATTCGGTGGTAAGAAACAGATTCAGCAAAACAAGTAGTGATTAGCAAATGCGAACAACTTTTACCATTGTAGAGAGAGACAGACAGAGAGAGAGAGAGAGAGAGAGAGAGAGAGAGAGAGAGAGAGAGATCAAATTCAGCTGTTGAAATTGCAGAAATTCTTTTGAAGCTTTAGAACGGAGAGCAATTGCGCGATGACAAGTCAAAGGTCAAAGCTGCACACCATTTATCGAATTATTTCTCTTATTCATTTATTTATTTATGGGCAAATTACAGTCACTCCCCTGGGGTAAGGTGAAATTATGAAAAGCCCCCTCTTGTTAGCGTAATTACAGTCACCTCCTTTAACTATGTAGTTTCTTACACATTCGCCTTACATTGTTAAAGTTACATAGCAGTGTTCATCCGGTTGGTAAATCGACTGAAACGAACCGAATCAAAGTGTATCTAGCTCCAGCTGAAGTTCCCACAATGTCATCAACCTAGCTTAATTATGAATAAAAAAAAGAAATTAAAAATTTAAGAAAGCTAATCAAATCAATTAATCTCTATCGAAAAGGTTCAATTATGCAAATTCGTCTTTAACAATTTATATTCAACTAACGAGTGTGCGGAAAAATACACAAATTTTTGTCTTTATTTAAAATAGACTTATATTTTCTGGACGGAAACGAATTTCTAATTTTTTTTTCCTTAGTACTAAAACCGTCCCCGAAACTTCTAACATTTACGAAAACGACTCTAAAACGTTTCGGACAGGTGTTATGGAATTTCAATTTTTAAACACTTACGAAAGTTTCTGTGCATCTTAGGTTAAGAAGTGACAATCTATTATAAAATTTGATTTGTTCAATTTATAATTAGATTCTCACCATAGATTCCCATTTTCCATTTTAATATCCAAAACAAAAGAAAAAAAATTGAAAAGGGGTTTGTTTGTCTAAATTTAAAATTAGTGGGCGAACCACCTAACACAGAACGCCATTACCCAAATTAATTCATTGGTCAAAAAACAACAACTACATACAAGATTGAGATTCAGATTGCGATTTTCAGGATTCAATCGAGGTAAAGATTTCAATTTCATTCAAAGTAATTATCATCGTTATTTTTTTAATTTTTTTTTCTATGGATAAAACTGTAAATAATTGCCTTCGTGATTGTGTGGTTGAATTGGTTTTGTTCGATTGAAAAGAAAAATTATGGATACCTGAAAATTAAAAAAAATATATATATATATCAATATTAGATTATTCAGATTTAATTGATTATTGCTGCTTGATGTTGAGCTCCAATTTTTTTGCTGATGTGTATAATATATTTATATATGAAGAACTCATGTTCAATTTGAAAAAAAAAAAATTGATTTTGATTGTGCCCTAAAAGATCAAACAAGGACATGATGATGTAGGTGCTGATGTCATACTTTTTCTCTTTGCTCCATTATTTTCAGTCGAGTGGAGTCGAAAGGGATCGATCAAGCGCTAAAATCGCTTCGAAATTTGGAGGTGTTTCGGAGTTGGACAAAATAAATAAGCGATAATGGAGAACAATCTCGTACAACCGTTGATTGCTGCAATTATTTCAGCTGCAATTGCTGCCCGATCGTATAGAAAGAAGTCCCTCGACTTTTCGGGAGCTATTTCTGGTTTTGCAGTCATGACTATTCACATTGCCGTCAATTACAGGTCCTTCTTCTCCACAATATATATATATATATATATATATATATATGTTCTCATGTATGATATTGATATGGATTGTAGGTTCGGGGCGGTGTTGCTTGTCTTCTTTTTCACTTCTTCGATGTTCACAAAATTTGGAGAGGACAAAAAGCAAAAAGTCGATGCCGATTTCAAGGAGGGTGGTCAACGCAATTGGTATTCTATACAAATTGCGATTCTTAATTTGTGCTTTCAACATTCTAGAAATCGAAGTCATTTTACGTTTTCTCGGAAGTGGTTTATATAGCATAAGCTGAACCTCTGGTAGAAGATCGGGATTTTCATAGTAATTAGCAGCGGAAACTTAAAAAAAAAAAGACGATATTCTAAAAAATCAATGCTCAAAGAAACTTCGATTTTTTCACGAGCCGAATCAGCATTTTCGTAACTTTTTTTTTTTATGATATAGCTCTTGAATTGCTTAATTGTTTACAGGATACAAGTTATTTACAACAGTGGCATCGGAACGATTCTAGTCTTGACTGTTTGGACAGTAGCGGGCAGCGAGGACTATTGTCTAAATTCAAAAGAATCGAGCCTGTTAACATTTCTAATCGGCGGTATTATTGGTCAATATTGTTGCTGCAACGGCGACACGTGGTCATCCGAACTCGGGATTCTCAGCGACGATCAACCCCGTTTAATTACCACCTTCAAGGTGACAAAAAATACGAACTTTTTTTAAGGTGAAAACTCCCCATGCCCCCCCTAAATACAGTTAAACATCTATAAATTAATATAGTCGGAACTGACAAAATTCTATTAATTTAGCGAAAGATTAAATTATCGAGCTAATAATTTAGTACGTTTTTTACCGAATCGGGACCGTAAGAAATTATTATTTAAGCGAGGTTATTAATTTATCGAGGTTCTACTGTACACGCTTTTTAAGGTGTTGTGTGCTAAAAAAATGCATGATAAGGGGGTTTTTGCTAATATTTATAACACAGGGAGTTTTTTAGCAATTTGATATAAAACTGGGGTACTAAACGCAATAACGTTTACTACTGTAATTAACGTTTACTACTCTCTCTCTGTCGATTTCTCATCGTTTCTCTCACTTAAATCAGCCGGTTCGAAAGGGCACAAACGGGGGTGTGACGAAGGCAGGGCTTGTAGCAGCTGCAGCAGGGGGGAGTGTTATCGGAGTGACATTTGTCGCGTTAGGATTCGTCACGACAAACTGCAGTTCCGATATCGCTTTAAAGCAGCTACTGCTAATACCGATTTCAGCTCTATCTGGATTGTGCGGGAGTGTTATAGATTCTTTACTTGGAGCCACCCTCCAATACAGTGGCTTCTGCAGCGTCCGAAATAAGGTCATAATAACACGGATACTTTTAATAATTGAATTAATCAAACTTTTTTTAAATGATATTAGAAGTGTAGTTAATTGACGTTTTGGTCGAAATTGCAGGTTGTCGGGAAACCAGGGCCGACTGTGAAGAGAATATCTGGTCTGAGTATACTCGACAACAATGGAGTGAACCTCGTCTCGGTATTATTGACAACTGTGCTTACTTCATTTGCTTGCTCATATATTTTCTAAAGGCAAAACTTGTGCTTGTGTTGTAATTTTGTACTAGTGGATGAAATAATATTAGGACAGACCATCTATTTAATGAAAAATAAATTGCAGAAAATATATATATATGTTTACTCTGCAACATACTATATATATTTGTTTTGGGCCTATTTTTTTTTATTGATTAATTAAGGAGGAAAAAAATATAAAATAATATCGTGACAAAATTTATAGTAAGTACCAAGTAATTTTTGTTAATAAATAATAAAACTCCATAAAAAAGTAGATGATCAAGGATTGAGTTTAGTGTACCGCTTTAGCCGATAAATTATGCGATCAGATATGCTTACGGTAGGTCCTAGAAACGAGTACTGGCAATCGCAGTGTGGAAATTTCAACTTCAATAACGTCCATTTCTTGTAGCCACCGGTAGGTCCTAGAATCGAGTACTGGCAATCGCATTGTGCGAATTTCAACTCCAATAACGTTCATTTCTTGTAGGCACAGACCCATATCCGCTACCCTAACAATCCATTGAGTTACTGTAATTTATATTCTTTCATCAAAATCACGTCGAGCCAGGATCAGGTGGCGAGAAATTTCGTCTTTTAATACAAGATGTGTTTACGGTATGTAATAGGATTAGTAGCATAGGTGGGGCCAAGAACAATTGACCCTTCAACTATATGGCCCCATAAAATCCATTGAAATAAAATAAAATCAAAACTCACCCATTAATTAATTAATTAATTAAAATAAAGAAAAGTGAAAACGAACCACATATAACTTGAGACTCAATCAAAATATACATAGGAGCAACAGAATATTAGTGAAGTGGACGCGAAGAAACGAACCAACCCCCACTCCCCCCTTCTCTTAACTAATCAAAAACACACACACTCCCACTCATTGCAACACACACACACACACCCCTCAAATAATACCCAACAAAATCCCTTTTATTGCAAAATAATTATAAACTACTAATTAATTACTACAATTTAATCTGCGCCGCTACGATGAATAGGGCGGAGATCGACACGAGCGCACCGTTCCGGTCGGTGAAAGAGGCGGTCATGTTGTTCGGCGAGAGAGTTCTCGCCGGCGAGATCTACGCCAATAAGTTCAAAGAGGTCAGAACATAATTAATTTAGTTACCAGCCTTATCTAAATTAATTGCTAAAATTTGAAATATTATCGAGTTCCTCTAGCCCATGAGATTTATTATTATTTGAGGTACTAAGATTTTTCTTTTTTCAATAAAGTGCTCGTACTTTTTTTATTACAAAAATACCCTCACGGTTACGTTAGTTAAAACTCTTTTATCTTCTCGAATGCTATAGTTCATAACGCTGGTTCACTCGCTTTCTCCTTCACATTTGGCTCAGTTAATTAAACCATTTGACTCAGCTGATTTAAATCTGTTGACTCGAGAAGGGAGGGAAAATTGACTGAAATAAGTAATTATCCGATCATGATTTGTTACGAAAATTGACAAAAAGAAAAACTAATTTAAAGATTTGTGGCTAGAATTAGCTAAAATAATCATTTAAATTATGAAAAATGGTATTAATTAATTTATATGAGAAACTATTCACTTTTCCAATACAGATGCAGGATGGTACAAGCCAACATGCGCATGGTACAACAACAACAATAGCATCCGAATTAAAAGAAACAAAACAAAGCCTACAAAAGGCTCAACAAGAGAGCATCCACATGGCACAATACCTCTCTTCATTACAACTTGAGCTCCAACAAACCAAAAAAGAGCTTCATCGTTTGAAGAGTACTACGGCTCGCACACATGTCAGACTCCCATTGGACGAAGTAGAGACCGCTATAGAAGACCTCAAATTCGTCGAGGGATATAAAGAGCGAGCGAGCGAACAAGTGAAGAAGGAAACAATAACTAGTGGTGATTATGATCATCATAAAAGAGTGGAATTCGAAAAGAAGAAATGTGTGACGTTTGCGAATCCGAAGGTGACACGTGTCATTGATGTGCCGCCTCCGCCGCCACCACCACCGCCGCAGCGTAGAGAGAGCGTGAGGGGACAAAGGCACCCTTCTCTTAAGAAGAAGAAGAAGCCACTTATTCCGTTTATCGGAGGGATTTTTTCGAAGAAGAGGGGGAGCACTCATGATCAAGTTGCATGTGCATGATGATGAGTAAATTTGGTTACTAGTATTAATAGAGATTTCAATAATTCAATAATGAGAGTGAAATATAATGTTGCACACACACAATTTTCTATAGCTAGTACTCTCAATGTGTGAAATATATATATATATATATATATATATATATATATATATATATATATATATATATATATATATATACTATGATCACATTAGCCTTTCATCAATATATATAATCCCTCTGTTTTTTGGTTTATCAAATTGTTGATGCATTAATTGTCAATTGAAAAACTTTTAAATGATATATTAACTATGTGTGTGTTTGCATAAAAATAAAAATATACACTTATTTTATCATTTTTGTGCGAATAACTCTTAAAAATATTCGGGGGCGCTGCCCGCACCCGAACCCCCGAAAAAATTAACCTATCTGCCCATGCGCACACATATATATGTGTGTATATATATAGATTGCATACATTAATAATGAACATGTAAAGATGAAATATTTACTACCCAACAATGTGTTACGTGTATTTTCAAATAATATATTTTGGATAGCCGTTGAGGGTATAATAGTAATACTATCCTAATACCCATATTTTGTGCTACCTAATAAAATGACATTGAACCAACTAATAACTGAAACAATATCCAAAGAAAAGGACTGCTTATTAATTAGATATAAGTTAAATATAGAAATATAAACAATATATAAAATAGGAAAAATATAAATAACCATATGACAAACTTGTGTGTTTTATACATAATAACAAATTAAACCAAACTATATATATAGTTTTCATTATATATATTTATTATACATGGAATATTATTTAGACCATGTGATAATAACATCGTCGGATTTTCTTCCGGCAAAAGACGACGACGCACAATCCTGCGACGCAGAAGAAGAAGAAGACTTATTGAAGAACTCAATGCAATCGGCAATCGCTTCACTATAGTGCGAATTCGATGAGTAGTAATTATACGAACTACTACTGCATGAGGTCTTTGGTGTATCGACCGCCGCCCTGTCACATGAACTCCGCCTCGGTGCCGCCGGCTGCCGCCCCGGCGAGCCACGACCTCTAGCCGGGAGGCCGCCGGGGAATATGAACCGCATTATGATCTTCCGGAACCTATCCAATAGTCTCATGCCGAATAATTAGTAATATTTATTAAAAAAAAAAAAAAAAAAAAATTAAAGAAAAGGCAACCCTAATTTTTTGAATATGAATGAGCTACATTTCTCACAAGAAGTACTCCTACTTATATTGTTGAATATTGGTATTATTATATTATATTATATTAAATATAATTATCCATTTATATTTATTTATTTATTCGATAAATATATATTCTCCGGGAAGTGCAATGCTATCATTTGTGTCGTATGGAGGAATAAAATTAATTAAAATGAGTGAATTTATTTTTTTTCGATTTTGCTTTTTGGAGTTATATTCTCTGTCACTCAATGATGTTAGTTCAGAAGTAATTAATTAAATATATATTTTTATAACTAGTTCACGCATGTGACCAAATCATTTGCATGGCCTTTTATATTTTTTCCTCATTAATAAAATATAATTATGATAATAAAGTAGTACTCCTATATTATTATTTTGGATATTTTCATTCAATAATATTATTTTATTTTATTTTATTTTGGGCAAATGGCAAAAAGGCCCATCACATGGGACTTAAATGCATTTTAGTCCACAAAAAAAACAGTCTCTCAATTAAGCCCATCCCCATATCTTTAGTCTAAAATACCCTCAATAATATAATTCTTAACAATTCCACCCATTATGCTCTAACTTCCTTAATATTACACAATGACCCCGGATTTAAACAAATATATCACATTAACCCCCAAAACTTTTTTTTTTCAGAAAATAATTTTTTTTCTGAAATGTTTTTTTCCGGCCAGATTCCGGCGTTGACTGCCGGAGACCGCCGGTCTCCGGCGTTGACTTTTTTTTTTTTTTTTTTGAAAATTTTTTTTTCCTGAATTTTTTTTCCGGTCGGTCAACCACCGTTGCCGCCGGTCTCCGGCG